ACCGGTGGGCCTCTCCACCAGCCCAGCGAAGGAGGAGAATCACGCTTGCTTGTTTGCTGAACGGCTTCCTCCAGGACCCCAAACCCAGGACCTCTTCCTCATCCTCCTCCTCCTCCTCCCTGCAGGAGCCTCACCTGTGCAGAGAGGCAAGGGCCTGACGAGGCCCTCAGTGGCCCCAGCTGGTCCAGAGGAAGGGATCCGGCCCCTTAAAGCCACAGGCGAGGCTTCAGGACCCAGCCCTCCCCAGGAGGAAAAGCCCCTTAGAAAACATCTGGATTTGGGCCATAGACAAGCTGACAAGTTGGCACGCCAGTCCCTCCCTTCCTCCCCCTCATCCACAACAGCCCTGCAAGGCGGGCCAGGCTCAGCAGAGTGCGCAGCGAGCCAAGGTCGCCCCGGAGACTTTCTTGGTGGTTTGGAACTGGGCTGAAGAAGCCGGCCGGATGGTTCTTTCAAGGGCCTCAAGACCCTTGGGCGACCCAAGCGTCCCCCCTGCTGGGGGGGGCCTTGGGGAGTCAGTACTGGCCCCCGCTGTACGTAACACCCCCAACCTCACCGCAAACGAAGCCCGGGCCCTGCACAGGCCCGTCTGACGGGGTGGTGACAGGTGAACTTTTTCCTCCCAGGCCAGAGGGACCCGGCCTCCTTCCTTCCGGGGGGAGCATTTAGGGACACAAGGGGGCCGTTTCTGGAAGGACGGTCCAGTCCCATTTAAAAGGCACAGCTTAGGAACCCAAACCTGGAGAAACCACCCTCTTTTTACCCCAAGGAGCCCGGATTGCAAAAGCCCCCCCCCCCGAGGGCGCCAACAGAACATGAGCAGAAAACCTATGATGATGGGAGGAGAGCGAGTCCACCGGGCGGGTTCCCAGAAGCCACAAGGATCCCGCTTCATCCTGGGGTTTGAAAACAGGGCATGAACCCACAAGTTCACACGCACACCCTCTGGAGAAGAAGACAGGAAGGGTTGGCACAAGAGGCTGTTGTGTTTTTTTTTGTTACTGGGGCAGAGCCAGAGTTTGAAGGGAGGGGCCGGCCTGCCGCTGAGCCTGCCCTGCTGGTGTCTGGGAGGGGGGGCGGCGGCGGCTGCGAAACGCACACAATCGCACACTGCCTCCTCTGTCTCCAGAAGCCTCCCGAGAGGGCCCCCTCAAACCTGTCCGGATTCGAGGCAAGGAAACGCCACAACCTGGCACACCGTCAAGGAGCCATCCAAGCGCATGAGAGCCCTCGCTCCCCCCCCGCCTGCCCACACACACACACACACCCAGGCCAGAAAAGCTGCACAAAAGCCCACTGACAGCAAGGTTTCAAACGGGAAGGGGGGGTGTAAAACAAGAGGGGAATTCTTTGCAAGCATGTGGGAAGAAGGGTCTGGGAAAGAAAGGAGCGCATACCAGGGCTGGCCTCACAGTGGCCGACGCCGGTTTGGAATGCCAAGACGCAGCTGGCCACACACACACACACCCAGGCCAGAAAAGCTGCACAAAAGCCCACTGACAGCAAGGTTTCAAACGGGAAGGGGGGGTGTAAAACAAGAGGGGAATTCTTTGCAAGCATGTGGGAAGAAGGGTCTGGGAAAGAAAGGAGCGCATACCAGGGCTGGCCTCACAGTGGCCGACGCCGGTTTGGAATGCCAAGACGCAGCTGGCTATCCCGTAGCATACCAGGGCTGGCCTCACCGTGGCCGACTCCGGTTTGGAATGCCAAGACGCAGCTGGCTGTCCCGTAGGCAGGGAGGGAGAGGGAGGGAGGGAGCAAAAGAAGTGCCCCTGGCACTGGCTTCTCGTTTCCGGGCCTCCCCCTTGGCATAGAGACAGCCCTTTAAGGAAGAACACAAAGAGAGAGAGAGAGAGAGATCCCTGCCCCAAGGAGCCTACAATCAGATGAAGAAAGTGGCAGGCAGGAAAGAAAGAAGAGAAGGAGATTTCACATCAGAGGCTGGAACATTTCCCTTTCGGGGGGGAGGGAGAGGAGGGGGAAGAGGCTCAGAAATCCGTAGTTAGAGTGGGCATGGGGCCATGCCACCTAGGGGGGGGATACTGGGCATTGTAGTACAGTAGAACCAAAACTCACAAATATCCGAGACACCCAACCTCAGTGTCCCTTCAGAGCAAAAAAATGTGTGTACAGTATATTATATTTGGGCAAGCAGCCCAAAAGAGAAATCTGAACAGGACACGGTGGGAAAAGGCCACACAATGACATCTCTGGGGGGGGGGCAGGTTTGCCTCCCAGCCCCCTCCCCAAGCACAGTCCTGCTGGGTAACATCCAAGCACCATCCAGGTCAGCCTTCTGTTTTTAATAAAGTCCGGCCCGCCAATGGCCTCCAGGGAGCCTCTCTCGCACAAAAATCTCTTGGGGATTTTTACGCAGGGAGCAAAGCCGTGAATGCAAGCAAGCAAGCAAGCAAGCAGGGGGGGGCCCTCCCAGACCCCAGGCGGCACCCCTTAATCCTCGGGGTTGGCACCTGGCCGAGCCGGAGACTTCCTGTGCCAGGCAGAGACTGGCACGCATCTCCTTGAGCCAGGCCCTTGGCACCATTCTCTCGTCTTCCAAGCAGGCGAGGAGATTACCAACCAAGAACACAAACACGCACTCTCTGAGAGAGAAAGAAAACAGAGCCCCTGGCCGAGGGGAGGCGACATTCGAAGGCAGCCTCGGGAAGGACCCTGTCATGCACGGAGTCCAGAAACTTTTTAGAAAAGCAACGTTCCAACCTCTGGGTGTGACACACTCTTTCCTCGTCATTAAAATATATATATATTTGTTCCTGTTAGTTCATTTCAATTTGGAAAGAATCTTAAAACGTATTTTAAAAGTAACTTCTGAAGGTAACCACAAAAGGTTACTTAGTGCATTACTTTAGAAATGTAACTTCACAGCCATTTCCTTGCTTTTTAAAAAACAACTGATTCCAAACAGTTATGTCCCCTGGAAAGTGTTACTTTCAAGGACTGCTCATGCCAAAAACATCAGGTGAGAGGACTGGGGGGTGGGTTTGCAGCCATCCAGATGTTGCTGGACTGCCCCTCCCATAATGTCTCACCACTCACTGATGGGAACTGTAGTCCTTGGCCACACATGGAGGGGTGTCCTTTGTCTTCCCCTCCAATACTAGCACCCACCCTGCCTTCCACAGACACATCCCGCATGCTTTCAGACTTAACATCCATGAGGACTAGAACCTTACATGCAAGTTTTAAATTTTAAAAAAAATCCAGAAATTGAGTTGTTGAACGCTGCAACAATTTAGACACAGATGCAGAGGGGTCAAAATGCATGTATCATCTCACCTGGGTTTAGAGGGAGTTACAGCGCACCCCTAAGAGGCGTTTGCCAGTTTCATCTCTCTTTTCCCTCCCTGCAGGCACCATTTTTCTTACAAGCTGCAGCTTGTAAGCTGGGAAACGAAGAAACCCTTTTTTTAACGGAATG